AGGGCCATGAGACTTAGACCTGAGTGCAAAAATGGAGGCTCTAGCCCCTTCCAGAGCTGAGATATCGAAACTCAAAAATTCGGCCCGAAAAAAAAACGACAGTGGTACCCCTTACGTTTTTTTTTTTGGGCGAAAAATTAAGTTTCTCCAATCTTCCCAAATTCTGATAGAGGGCCATGAGACTTAGACCTGAGTGCAAAAATGGAGGCTCTAGCCCCTTCCAGAGCTGAGATATCGAAACTCAAAAATTCGGCCCGAAAAAAAAACGACAGTGGTACCCCTTACGTTTTTTTTTTTGGGCGAAAAATTAAGTTTCTCCAATCTTCCCAAATTCTGATAGAGGGCCATGAGACTTAGACCTGAGTGCAAAAATGGAGGCTCTAGCCCCTTCCAGAGCTGAGATATCGAAACTCAAAAATTCGGCCCGAAAAAAAAACGACAGTGGTACCCCTTACGTTTTTTTTTTGGGCGAAAAATTAAGTTTCTCCAATCTTCCCAAATTCTGATAGAGGGCCATGAGACTTAGACCTGAGTGCAAAAATGGAGGCTCTAGCCCCTTCCAGAGCTGAGATATCGAAACTCAAAAATTCGGCCCGAAAAAAAAACGACAGTGGTACCCCTTACGTTTTTTTTTTGGGCGAAAAATTAAGTTTCTCCAATCTTCCCAAATTCTGATAGAGGGCCATGAGACTTAGACCTGAGTGCAAAAATGGAGGCTCTAGCCCCTTCCAGAGCTGAGATATCGAAACTCAAAAATTCGGCCCGAAAAAAAAACGACAGTGGTACCCCTTACGTTTTTTTTTTTGGGCGAAAAATTAAGTTTCTCCAATCTTCCCAAATTCTGATAGAGGGCCATGAGACTTAGACCTGAGTGCAAAAATGGAGGCTCTAGCCCCTTCCAGAGCTGAGATATCGAAACTCAAAAATTCGGCCCGAAAAAAAAACGACAGTGGTACCCCTTACGTTTTTTTTTTTGGGCGAAAAATTAAGTTTCTCCAATCTTCCCAAATTCTGATAGAGGGCCATGAGACTTAGACCTGAGTGCAAAAATGGAGGCTCTAGCCCCTTCCAGAGCTGAGATATCGAAACTCAAAAATTCGGCCCGAAAAAAAAACGACAGTGGTACCCCTTACGTTTTTTTTTTTGGGCGAAAAATTAAGTTTCTCCAATCTTCCCAAATTCTGATAGAGGGCCATGAGACTTAGACCTGAGTGCAAAAATGGAGGCTCTAGCCCCTTCCAGAGCTGAGATATCGAAACTCAAAAATTCGGCCCGAAAAAAAAAACGACAGTGGTACCCCTTACGTTTTTTTTTTGGGCGAAAAATTAAGTTTCTCCAATCTTCCCAAATTCTGATAGAGGGCCATGAGACTTAGACCTGAGTGCAAAAATGGAGGCTCTAGCCCCTTCCAGAGCTGAGATATCGAAACTCAAAAATTCGGCCCGAAAAAAAAACGACAGTGGTACCCCTTACGTTTTTTTTTTGGGCGAAAAATTAAGTTTCTCCAATCTTCCCAAATTCTGATAGAGGGCCATGAGACTTAGACCTGAGTGCAAAAATGGAGGCTCTAGCCCCTTCCAGAGCTGAGATATCGAAACTCAAAAATTCGGCCCGAAAAAAAAACGACAGTGGTACCCCTTACGTTTTTTTTTTTTGGGCGAAAAATTAAGTTTCTCCAATCTTCCCAAATTCTGATAGAGGGCCATGAGACTTAGACCTGAGTGCAAAAATGGAGGCTCTAGCCCCTTCCAGAGCTGAGATATCGAAACTCAAAAATTCGGCCCGAAAAAAAAACGACAGTGGTACCCCTTACGTTTTTTTTTTGGGCGAAAAATTAAGTTTCTCCAATCTTCCCAAATTCTGATAGAGGGCCATGAGACTTAGACCTGAGTGCAAAAATGGAGGCTCTAGCCCCTTCCAGAGCTGAGATATCGAAACTCAAAAATTCGGCCCGAAAAAAAAACGACAGTGGTACCCCTTACGTTTTTTTTTTGGGCGAAAAATTAAGTTTCTCCAATCTTCCCAAATTCTGATAGAGGGCCATGAGACTTAGACCTGAGTGCAAAAATGGAGGCTCTAGCCCCTTCCAGAGCTGAGATATCGAAACTCAAAAATTCGGCCCGAAAAAAAAACGACAGTGGTACCCCTTACGTTTTTTTTTTGGGCGAAAAATTAAGTTTCTCCAATCTTCCCAAAACTCTGGATTCTGATAGAGGGCCATGAGACTTAGACCTGAGTGCAAAAATGGAGGCTCTAGCCCCTTCCAGAGCTGAGATATCGAAACTCAAAAATTCGGCCCGAAAAAAAAACGACAGTGGTACCCCTTACGTTTTTTTTTTGGGCGAAAAATTAAGTTTCTCCAATCTTCCCAAATTCTGATAGAGGGCCATGAGACTTAGACCTGAGTGCAAAAATGGAGGCTCTAGCCCCTTCCAGAGCTGAGATATCGAAACTCAAAAATTCGGCCCGAAAAAAAAACGACAGTGGTACCCCTTACGTTTTTTTTTTGGGCGAAAAATTAAGTTTCTCCAATCTTCCCAAAACTCTGGATTCTGATAGAGGGCCATGAGACTTAGACCTGAGTGCAAAAATGGAGGCTCTAGCCCCTTCCAGAGCTGAGATATCGAAACTCAAAAATTCGGCCCGAAAAAAAAAACGACAGTGGTACCCCTTACGTTTTTTTTTTTTTTTGGGCGAAAAATTAAGTTTCTCCAATCTTCCCAAAACTCTGGATTCTGATAGAGGGCCATGAGACTTAGACCTGAGTGCAAAAATGGAGGCTCTAGCCCCTTCCAGAGCTGAGATATCGAAACTCAAAAATTCGGCCCGAAAAAAAAACGACAGTGGTACCCCTTACGTTTTTTTTTTTTCGGGCGAAAATTAAGTTTCTCCAATCTTCCCCAAACTCTGGATTCTGATAGAGGGCCATGAGACTTAGACCTGAGTGCAAAAATGGAGGCTCTAGTCCCTTCCAGAGCTGAGATATCGAAACTCAAAAATTCGGCCCGAAAAAAAAACGACAGTGGTACCCCTTACTTTTTTTTTTCGGGCGAAAAATTAAGTTTCTCCAATCTTCCCAAAACTCTGGATTCTGATAGAGGGCCATGAGACTTAGACCTGAGTGCAAAAATGGAGGCTCTAGACTCTTCCAGAGCTGAGATATCGAAACTCAAAAATTTGAACCAAAAAAAAAAAAACGACAGTGGTACCCCTTTCGTTTTTTTTTTTTCGGGCGAAAAATTAAGTTTCTCCAATCTTCTCAAAACTCTGGATTCTGATAGAGGGCCATGAGACTTAGACCTGAGTGCAAAAATTGAGGCTCTAGACCCTTCCAGAGCTGAGATATCGAAACACAAAAATTCGACCCAAAAAAAAAAAAACGACAGTTTTTTTACCTTCCAGTTCTTTACCTTTTTTACCTTTTACCTTTTATCATACCTTCCAGAGCTGAGATATCGAAACTCAAAAATTCAAACCAAAAAAAAAAAAAAAACGACAATGGTACCCCTTTCGTTTTTTTTTTTTTTTTTCGAGCGAAAAATTAAGTTTCTCCAATCTTCTCAAAACTCTGGATTCTGATAGAAGGCCATGAGACTTAAACTGAGTGCAAAATGGAGGCTCTTTAGATCAAGAACTGTGTATTCTTGTCTTTCAGTTGTGTGTGTGTGTGTGTTCTGTTGCAGGAGGTTTGCGGGGGGCAGCACGAGGTGGGCTGGTTGGGCTGACTCTTTCTGGACTCTACGCTCTCTACAGTAACTGGGACCGTCTAAAGGGAGGCTCTCCTACACACTACTAAGATACTCTACAAATCAGTCCAAAAATCGTCAAAATACCAAGCACCATCGATTGCTTTGCTAATGCAAAATAACTATCCATCTAAGATAAGGTTACGAAACCACACTTGGAGGCTTCATGACAATCTCATAATTCAAAATTTCATAATTTATGAAATGAGGAATGTTTGCAACTAGTTGTTTAAAAAAATGATTTAGAAACTTTTTAATTGTTTAATGAAGCAAAAGTTAAATTTAACTAGTTGATAGTGTCTGTAAGTGTAATTGACAGAGTGTGTGTGTGTGTGTGCGCGAGTATATAAATGGCTGAAAAACCAAATAGTGAAATAAGTCACTTGTTTTGAATGTTTGTTTGCAATACATTCTGCAGTCTAACATTGGACCAGCTGTTATTCATTTTTAAAAACAGATGACAATGTTAAGAACAAAATTAAACATTGCACTAGAACTGGATAATGATGGTGTGTTCACATGCTATGGAAAGTGCTTTTGTTGTCGTAATGTGGTAAAAAAGATGGAGATCCAGACCTGTTATTTAGCTAAAACTATTTTAGATTGCTTAAGTCATCTGCTACAGCAAGAAAATGATTTATCAAAACTCAAAAGGTAAATAATATGCTGTATATTTTCTAGATATGTATATGTATATTTTCGGTGCTCTCCGCCATTTTGAAAAGGTCAAAGTTTATCTCATGTTCATCAAAATATTGTACGAGTTGCCCAGTGGAAAATACCACATGAGGGGGTGTTCATTTGCATTTTCAACATCGTTTTTTGTTATTAACCATATTACCACCACAGCACATGAATGCACCATGAGTGTTTACTAAAATCTGGTAATTTATGATTGTATGTTATTACCTGAAGTGATATTTGGGCACATTGCCATATCATTCCATTAGCACTGTTGAGGGACATTATAATGTATATGTGTGACTAAGTAAATGTGGCTAAAAGACATTACGTTTGTGTGTTTGGCACAGATGAGTGTTTCACTGAACTGTAGAGATGTTGAAAAGAGGTTTGTTTGGCCTCATGTACTAATATTCTTGACATTAAAGAAAAGCATTCACATCTCTCTCGTGGTTGTATTATCAGCAGATTCTTATAAGGATGCATTGAAGATTTAGTTTCCTTTCTGTTAGCGTGACCTGGAATTTTCTGAGTCAGGAAATAGAAACATGAAATGAGTCACATTACAAAAGGAAATGTTTGTCTTTTTATTTATTTAGTTGACAGGGATCAAAGCATAAGAGATTATGCAAGCAATTTTTAGATGAACCTACATACAAGTGTAATTCTGTAGGCCAAACACTGGCACATGCTGACAACGATTTTAGCATTGTTAATGTTTATGTACCAAGTCTTTGGTCCATTACTGAATGATAGATTGGTACATGAGACGAAATTCAACTTTTCATTTTTGCATCAGCTTTTAATTCACCAGCAGTCTTTGCTCTGTATGTGCAAAGTATAATTCTTGCTTTACATGTTTCACAGCATAGATGAAGCCTTATCAGTGGTTAATTTATGACAGACTCAATTTAAAAAGAGCTAAAGTTATAGTATGGTAAATATTTACCACAGGTTGAGCTTAAAGACCACAGCTCATGACACCAGAAACGCCCAACTACAATGAGATGGACACACATTTGATGTCAGGCACACAAGTTGAGGTTACTTACAACAACGGAAATTTTGCTATGTTTAGCTGGCATACGAGTTGTGTATGCAACAGAGGTGTATAATATAATCACTGAGAAAAATAGTAAAATTCTATATAAATATATAATCAAAGAAGAGATGGAGGAAATCCTTCTCAGCTTTTAGAGCATGCTTTCCTCTAAATGTGCTGAGATTTAAAACATGAATTAAAAAAAACTGTAATTGAATGATTAAAACTAATATAGATTTATTTTGTACTTAAGCTCTTCCCAACACCTCCTCCCCCCTCCCCCTCCCACTATGCCCTAATGGGGGAAAAATAAAAAAAAATTTATTTGTTTGTAGGCACCAATCTGGTCCATTTCCTCGTGATCTTTAAATCACATTACTGATTTATAATAAACACATTGGTCTCAACTAGATCCCTGGAATTTAACTGTATTAAACCAATTTAAAAAAGAGGCAAAAATACAGTAATTCCCCAGCATAAACACTCCCTCAAGTGATGGTGTACCACAATCTTTCAGTCTCTAGAAGATATGAGAGAGCGAACCCCTAAAGAGCAAGGAAGAACAATATTGTGCAATAATCAGCGGTTAAATGGTGCTAGAGTAAATCTCAAAAAAGACACTGGATGTTGCCTTCATATCTGAAAAGGAGAAAAGAAAATGGTTTTACTTTCTCTGAAAAGCTTTACTTTAAAAAAAAGTGTTCATATTTACATCATCGCTTCTCACCTGTGTAGCGGTGTGCTGAAGCCACTTTTCTTTGTCCCCGCTGAGCTTCATACAGGAAAACAGGTCACATACTGTGGGCAGGCCAAGCCTTTCCTGGACAAAACACAGGAAAACATGCATGTATATCACCAAATTATACGTTCTGCTTTTAGAGTGACATTCTTAAAGACTGATAGTATGGATGGAACTTGCAAGATGGTTCTTTAAAAGGAATAGTTCACGGAAAAATTTTAATTCCTTCATCAGTTCATGTTTTCCTACAGAAGAGGATTAGGGCCAAGCAATAATACAAAAATAAAAACCATCTTGAGTTTAAAGTCATTATAATGCGAGATTAAACTCGTTAAATTTCGAGAAAAAATTATCTTTTCGAAAATACAATCTTGAGAATAAACTCATTAAATATCAAGAATAAAGTCATTGTGTTTCGAGATAGAACTCGTTAAATTTTGAGAAAAAAGTCGAAATACAATCTTGAGAATAAACTCATTAAATATCGAAAACAAAGTCGTGTTTCGAGATAGAACTCGTTAAATTTCAGAAAAAAGTCAAAATACAATCTTGAGAATAAACTCATTAAATATAGAAAAAGTCGTTGTGTTTCAAGATAGAACTCGTTAAATTTTGAGAAAAAAGTCGAAATACAATCTTGAGAATAAACTCATTAAATATAGAAAAAATCGTTGTGTTTCGAGATAGAACTCGTTAAATTTTGAGAAAAAAGTCGAAATACAATCTTGAGAATAAACTCATTAAATATAGAAAAAATCGTTGTGTTTCGAGATAGAACTCATTAAATTTCGAGAAAAAAGTCAAAATACAATCTTGAGAATAAACTCATTAAATATCGAGAATAAAGTCGTTGTGTTTCGAGAAAAAAATCGTTAAATATACAATCGAGAATAAACTCATTAAATATTGAAAATAAAGTTGTTATTTCGAGAAAAAAAGTCGAAATACATAGAGAATGAAGTCGTTAAATTTAGAGAATAAATTTGCTTCGTGATATTTAATGAGTTTTTTCATAAGATTGTACTTCGACTTTTTTTCTCAAAATTTAACGAGTTTAATCTGGCATTATAATGACTTTAATCTCGAGATGGTTATATTTTTTCATTATTGCTTGGCCCTAATCCTCTTCCGTATGTTCCAAACCTGTAATACTTTAATTCATCTTTAAATTAAAAACTAAAGATATTTTTAATGCAACCCCATGATTTCCGAGTTCATAGAAAGTAATCCAATCGGACGTCAAGCAACCGTGCTGAGCTTTCATCTACCACATTCGACGTGCTCTTTTTGTATGCGTTAATGCTTATGTGCGAATCAAATCCTAAATTAAATCCGTTTATCAAAAAAAGTGATCGTGTCTCTTCAGAAGTCTTGATTCTACTCGATTCATATGGACTACTTTTACAATTTCTTTGTAGCATCAAAGTTTTTATTGCGTAGACTTTCAGAAATCTCACACTTTCATTAAAAATTTGTGTTTCGAAGATCAACAAGTCTTGCGGTTTTAGAATGAAATGAGGGTGAGAAAGCATCAATTTTTATTTTTGCGTGAACCAACCCTTTAATACGTTTGTGTTGTACTTTTTATTTGGGTGTTGTCACTGTAAAGCTGCTTTAAAACAATCAGCGCAATATAAATAAAGGTGCACAGATATCAGCCTCACCTGTGCACTGGCCCGCTTTCGTAGAAGCCATTTATCCTCCTCGAGGTCTTTTGTGTTCTCGCTCTCTGGCTTGTTTGGTGTCTCAGCGGTACAGCTAATGGACTTCATCGCTGGCAGAAGCCAGTTCTCCGACTGCAAAGGCTTCTGGACGAAGCTCTCAGAGTCTGAGGATTTGATGTGCGGGGTCACCCAGGCAGAGAGGGTCGACAGGGCCGGGGATTTGGGACTGTTGCTCGGGTGTAGCCAGGCCTCTAGGATGGCCTGAACTTTCTGCTCCTGCTCCTGTTGGTGGCTGGCGGCTTTGTTTGAGGCGTTCTTACTGACGGGAACCCCGTTCTTATCCCGACCCTCTTTCTTGAGGAGCCAAGCACTGAGAGCCTCTTTTCCACAGTTTTCATCACAGACACATTGAGCGTAGCTGGCACAGGTTTCGTTGGCTTTGCAGGTGGTCTCGAGAGGAATGGTCTTGTGAAGCCACATCTCGATGGGATCGGGGTTGGGGTTGGGAGTGCTGGCAGTGGATGAAGGCGGAGTCTTTAGGCACTTGAGCTTTCCGAGGTTCTCGATTTCCACGGCCGTGGTGCGTGTGGGACAGCAAGAGCCGCAGTCAGACTTTGGTAGCCAATCGCTGTAGGAGAAGCTCTCGTAGAAGGGTTTGATGATCAGATTGAAGCGGTCGGCATCTGATACTTGGCTGGTCTTCCCTTGCTTGATTGGGCTCGGACTGGCAAGCCAATTGCTGAGTTCTTCCTCCTCAAAGGTGTCGTCCACGTTCTCCGGCTGGTCTTCCGGTTCCACCTCGTCCAGATTTAAGTCGCTTTCCTCAATCATCTCGATCGAGAAGGTTGAGCTGCCGCTGCTGGTTCGCTCACGAATAGGCAATGTCTCCTTTATCAGCCACGACTCTAGGTCATGAAGCTGACCCCAGGCTTTTTGGAAGTCAAAGGCAGGTAGTTGTTGCTCTTCCTGATGGAAGTAAAATAAAAAAAATCCTCAGTTTGCGTTGCTCGTCACCCATGAACAAATAAAGGCTTTATATATATATATATATATATCACAAGTCTCAGCTTACCTGAGACTCCTTGGAAACAAGCAGCCAGTCCTGGGGGTTTGAGCTAAAGTGGTCTCTTACAGGAGTGATGCTCACTGCACGGTTCCCTAGAAGCCACTCAGCCAGAGGTGTGGCCTGTTCATGATCTAATTTCTAAGTAAACAACACAGGTATTTAACATTGTATGTACATATGAGCAGAAAGTTAGATTAAATAAGTATGATAACTAAAACAAACCTGTTTCTTGAAAGAAACTGGGCAGTCCTGAAGAAGCCACGGTCTCTCAAAAGAGCACGAGGTCTCCACCTGCTGCAGCAGAGAAGAGTTATGAATGCAGGTGCTTTGTGGAAGGGTGCACAAGTCTATTTATGGCAATGGTATGAGCACATAGACACATACACTATCAACAATAAGTGAACTTTCAATCATATGTGAATAACAAGACCATATGTTCTATTAGAAAATGTTCACTGGAGTCTCACATCGCAGAAGCTTTAGGCTGTCTACACTGAACTGTATTAAAATAAAATAATAATGTGTAGATAAATATTTCTGTTTCTCACTAAGTATTACATTGGTGCATATGAATGAAAGTGATATGAAAAAAAGCGATATTGGGGTTCTGAATTTCTTGCCAATCAATTGATATCAACTACAAGCCTTTGTGTCCAAAATGTGCATATCAGCAATTCCACAAACCTGGGTGGCGATGGTCCCAAAGGATGTGATAGCCTGGCGCAAGGTGCGTGCATCTGCTTGGAAACTCATCTCTGGGGTTTCTTCAGGAGTCAGATTGAGCGAAGATAACCTGAAACAACAAAAGCATGAGCCACATTTATAATCTACTCAGGCATTCCTCAGAGATTCACATTGATTGTGAGAGATATAATCCACTACAGCGTCTCTGTTGACATGTAGCAGTAGTAGTATTTGAGTTTATTGCCATATCAGCATCACCGGCTATTACATGGCAGAAACATATAATATTATGTTATTACATGTTTAATAAGTAAAACATAATTAAAAAACGTATACAAACAAAAGCAATAAAATAAATCCGTAAAAGATTCGAGCTTGACATGTAAACAGCATTTTATCACACTATAGCAGATTTACAACGATCGGTGTCTTACTTCTCCAAGCAGTTGGTGAGCTGGGTAGCGAGATTGTTACTACTGGAATACTCCAGCTGATGAATGAGGATGTCAAACTGGCCTTTGAGCTGTGAGAAACCATGAGAGAACAAATGTCATTTCAGCTTTGAAGTAATTCAACTAGAGCAGAACGGCTTCATTTCTCCTTTTTTAGATTTTAGATTAGAGTTTCAGTATCCAAAGTCAATATTTAGATTTAATTTCTCAGAAATGTCTCGTAATAGAGATGTCAAAAACTACCTTTAGTTCAGTACCAAGTCAATACTAAAATAAAAAAACAAAAAAACTATACCAGACTGACAGATGGCTGCCTGCACAAATGATCAAACTACACACGTTTGCATATAGAGAACGTAGCCCTCAATCGGGTCATGGGGTCTATACGACCCCAATCGACTTTTACTTAATGAAAAAAAAAGGTTCCCTTCACCACAGTGGAATAAGATTTTGCGACTTTTGTATGTAAAAAAAAATGTTTACACTTCTGGTCTTCAGAGTCAATATGACCCCAAATTTAAATGAATGGGAAATGTGAAAAAAACTAAATATATTTTCTTCATGTGTCAAAAAAAAAAAAAAAAAAAAAAAAAAATCTGGCATAAATCTGAACATTTTTACACAGAAATGAAGGCCTAGTACTAGAGCATAAATGCAACGTATCATAAAAAAAATAATATTTCATATGCAAGCTAATGGTGTAGCTGAAGAATTGTGTGGTATATGGATACAAAAGTACTTTATATCTCCAAAAACACAGCATTAATAAACAGATGAGACGTAACCAAAAAAAATGATATATTATTTGTATGACTAAAAATGTATATTTTTTGTACAATTACTCAATCAATTGTTGGGGTCGTATAGACCCCGAAGGCCAGAAGTGTAAACAGGAAACAAAAACCAATTTTGAAGGTTGAAGGTTTTCTGTTAAAACAGTGTCATGTTAACAAGTTATTAGCCAATGATCGTTGCGATGGAAGTGAATCAATAAAAACTAACTTTAGGAAAATAACTTTATTCTACAGCTGCCATAAGGCCATCTTTGTTACTTTATTATCACTGTAAAGCCGCTTTGGAACAATGTACATTGCGAAAAGCGCTCCATAAATGAAGATGACTTGACATGCGACACTCACCAAATGAAGCTGCTGTAGCTGCTGATGTAAAGTCTCTGCTTTGAGCTGCTCCACCAGATCGATCTGCTCCAGCAGCCAGACCTCACGAGAGCGCAGGATCTCCAGATGTCTGCTGATACAGCTGTGCAGCTGAGACTTCACCTGCGAGGAACCAGACACGTGTGTGAATGCAAGCGCGTGCGAGTCTACACGTGTCCGCCTTTGAAAGTGCAGCTTTTAAAACTCGACCCCACCTCCTAAACGCCTGCAATAACCTGAGGTCTACAATAATACAAACAAGATCTCCTTATTCACTCAAAACAGAGAAACAGTATTATATTATACTCTGTTTTGAGAGATTACAATGAGGTTTCTCAACAGAGCTTTAGTGAATGAGCGTAAATCCTACAAACTATTTTTGAGACAATTTCTCAACTGTTAATACTTCTGAACTTGTTTAGCTGTGGTCTCCTTTTAGACTACCTGCATCGAAATAGTAATTATTAACTCTGTCTGAGGTGACCAATTATTATGTCATATGCATGGATGTTTTCTTATGTGTACAAGAAAATAATAGCTTATTGTGCACTGAGCTTAAAGCACATTATAAAGCCACAATGTTCAGAAAAGTCAGAGTTCACACACCCACTCCTGGGACACTGAGCCTTTAATAACACAAACATGAGTTAAGTGTATAAATAAAAGATATTTTATCTGTTATTCTACATGACGCCACTATAAGCACAGGTGTCTCTCACCTCTCTGGAGTTGCTCTTGAGCTGAACGTCAGCTTTGATGACTCCGGCGATGGCCTCCTCCAGCTGGGCCCGGGCCTGAACACACTGCCTGAGGGCAGCCGTCTCTCTCTGCCCCACGGCTGACATGCTGCGCACAAGACAAACACGCCACATCACATAAATGACACTCTTTTCTATTTCCAAATAGAAACTGGTTAAAGGGACAGTTCAACCAAAAAATGAAATTGGTATTTTCATGCTGAGAAAAAAAAAAAAAAAACATTTTTAAAATCTAAAACTACATTTGGCAGAAAAATCTTCAGAAATGTCATTTTGTAAAATGTCAACCAAACACTGATGAAAAAAAAAAATGTATAATTTTAAAAAAAAAATATCTTCTGAATTTCACAGAATAAAGCCTAGTCAGACAAAATAATTACCCTTTTTGGGTGAACTATGCCTTTTATCTGACCTGACCACAAGGTAAAATATTGCTTAACAGCATTCCAGTCTTTACACTTTAAATTGTCAAGATTTTAAGATTGTATATGGTGCCAATATTTGTGACCTTTAGCTTTTAACAACAACAACAAAAAGTTCCATATTGATTTACTTAGAAACACTGACAATCAGTCTGATGAACCTCATTTCATTCAATATCCATTCTTTTGTGCAGGTTTCATTTGCTATAAAAAAAAAGTTTTATATACACTACAAATCAAAAGTTTGACTGGTTTTCTTTCTCATGACATTAAAAACCTTTTGAGCCTGAGGCATGTGCTTAAAGGGGTGGTATAAAATAAATAAATCTCTGATGTCCCCAGAGTGTGTGTGTTAAGTTTTAGCTCAAAATACAGCACAGATATTTTTATCTAGCATGTTAAAATGTCACTTTTTAAGGGTGAGCAAAAACACACCTTTTTGTTACCGGTCCCTTTAAATGCAAATTAGCTGCTGATTTTGGATTTTTTTTCATATATATGAAAAAAATTCCAAAATCAGCAGCTATATATATATATATATATATATATATATATTCTTTTCTTAAAGAAATATATATATATATATATATATATACATATATATATATATATATATATATATATATATTTTTCTTAAAGAAGATATATATATATATATATATATATATGAAGATATATATATATATATATATGAAGAGTTCAGATGCAAAAGCCTCTAAGTGCCATTTGAAATTTTGTTCTAGAATGACCATTTTTATCAAGCTTGTGTATTTAAGTTCAGTAATTTCACTTAAATGACAATTAATAGGTAATCTTCATTGCCATTTAAGTGAAATTACTGAACTTAAATATACAAGCTTGATAAAAATGATAATTTTAGAACAAAATTTCAAATGGCACTTAGAGGCTTTTGCATCTGAACTCTTCATATATATATTCTTCTTTAATAAAATGTTCATAATACATGATTTCAATTAATTAGACATGTTTTTTGATTGCTAAAAAATTACATGGCCGCTCCACAACACCAGCATGGTTTTGTGATGTCACTAAGCCGGGAGGAAGCTCGTGTAGTCCCTACAGCCATTTGTTGTAGTCCTTAAAAAGCAATTTCTTTAAAAAATATCTCTCTTTGTTTTGAACTTTGAGCACACTAACTACTAAATTTACAAAAGTGACATTTTTATATTTCACGAGAACAATACATCTTGATAAAGCTATTTTTATTTTATTTTACTATACAAACAGTAGGACAAACACAATAGAGCAGAGATAGAAAATAAACTGTATTTTAGCTAGTAGGTTTATATACATGTAGTAAAAAACAACAGAAATTGAATAATCAAGTGTATAACTAAAACACTGAATAGTTTTCACTGTAGGAATCAAATATAAATGCGCTTCAGGTATGCGTCAGTCGTTGAGCAGCAACAGTACTTTTATTGGTGTATATATGAAGAGTTCAGATGCAAAAGCCTCTAAATGCCATTTGAAATTTTCTTCTAATGACCATTTTTATCAAACTTGTATATTTAAGTTCAGTAATTTCACTTAAATGACAATTAATAGGTAATCTTCATTGCCATTTAAGTGAAATGAAATTACTAAACTTAAATATACAAGCTTGATAAAAATGATCATTTTAGAAGAAAATTTCAAATGGCAATAGAGGCTTTTGCATCTGAACTCTTCATATATATATATATATATATATACACACCATGTGAAATAAACAAGACAGCTCTCTAAAGATAACCCTTTTAAACCATGGTCACGATATGTATCATCATATGGCCCAGCCCTATTAAAAACCCATATCAGTCGCATTCAGCTGTGGCCTTTTTCCAGTGAACTAAAAGCCTCCGTCACATCCTGCAAATATCGATGTGTCAAGAGGAATGATAAACGCCTGCCAAAATTAGAGCAACACGTGAGGTCTCAAATAATATTCAGCTGACAGTGTCTTTTAAGGGCAAATTCATGCAAAAGAAACAGACTAAACATGTATCAGCGGAGGGGCACAGTTTATACACCCATGACAATAACAGGAAGAGCTGTTTAGTGTAGCTCTCCAGACGCATTTCTTAGATCAGACTATTATTTTAATCTAAACAGTATAAACATTTTATGTAATAAATTATGTCAATAATAGAAGTCAGAAAACAAACAAAACGGCAACATCTGCACAGCATGAAGTGGTCAGGACAAAAGCCCAGTGTCCACAGATCTAGAGCTTTCCATCCTGACAGCATGCTGGATTAGAAACCAGAGGAAAAGGGAAACAAGACCATATTTGGACATCTTAATTAATATCTTAATTAAAACAACTTCAAAAGCTTTAACTAATGCACTTTTGCAGGATCTTACATTTCATACAGACAATACAACACAATTTCAATTTCAATACAACACAATAACGTCCCCTTATACGAGTACTACTGGCACTACCAGAGTGTATTCAGTGTTAGCAGAGGATGGAAATATCATGCTACTGAAATTAGCATATTCACGTGCAGTACCATATTAAAAAAAGAATACCATGGTACAATCACAACACGTCAAAAAGTCAAAGTAATACGACGGTACTTTATTTTTGGCTAGTGTAACTAATAATTAACCATTCGGATACTTTATAAATTGACCTTTTAAGATTACTAATAGTAATGTTATCATGAACGGCGTTCACGAGAAGTGCTTTCGTTTACAATCTGAAAATAGATGCATTTAAAACGTCATGTCAAAGTACCCAATCGGTTCATACCTCTTCTTGTCAATCAAGCGATATACAACGGACGTCATTTTGATCCAAATGTGTAGTTTAGGTTGCGAATTGTCAATTTACGAAAGTCTAATTGTTCTCACGGTTTATCTAACAGAGCCCCTTTCCTCGGCCCACTGCAACGTCAGCGCACACGTCATCATCAGTGCTGCCTCCACACGAGCCGGCTGATTCTGCACGTACACGGGGCCAACTCGCGGGGACGCGCGACTGACGGCAGAAACGACCCCAAAACACACAAAGAGCACAATTCTAGAAAATAAAAATAAAAACATGGTGCAACTTCTGTCTTATGAGGAACCAAAAAGTTTAAGGAGGATCTGATACTTCCGTTATAAGGATTAAATGCTGACATGTCTTTTGTTGTTGCTGATATCAGACCTTACAAAGACTTTGCACTTCATCTAAGAGTTAACTGATAAACAACTTCACTGGTATCACAGAAAACTAAATGACAATAATAGGTATAATTAATAAACTACTTGTTATCTTATGTGTATCTGTATTTAAATAGAGATCTCACCTCTCAGTATACAAATACATCATGAGTGTCAGTCTAAATGAAGATAAACAAAGCAACATCTGTATGCCACCAAATAAAAACAATCAACCCAAAACTGAAGCAACTTTCAAATGTAGGTGCAAGTTTCCTAACCGAATGTGGTAACATTATTTTTTCAATTCCCAATTATTTGTGTCACATGTTTTATGCATTTATAATAGCAATAACATGCAAGGGACCCTAAATCAAAACCAAATCCAATACTAAGTACAAGTAGTTAATTTATATAAGGTACCTAAATGTAAAATTACACTGTAACAAGAACACCTTAATACAAAGTGTGACCCCAAATTCTTCATGCTGCTTAAATAACATAATCCCATGTAAAGTTAATTGTTATGGTTCATTTATTGCACTTTAACCAGACTCCATTTGCAATGACGAAATGCTTGATAGATAATATTACGCAACGTTTTTGAGTCCAGTCCAGACCAAGTGTACACTTTACCAAGACATGTAAAATTACTTAAAAGAGCAAAATAAAACAACGATTGAACATCTGAAGCGGACGCTGCAAATATACCCCAAGACCGTCCGTCTGCAGCCCCTTAAAAAGTCACAATATATCGAGGAGGACATAGGCCACTGAACTCAATCCGTAATTCGTATAAATATACATTTTATACTACGTAATTAAAACGAGTATCATGTTACATATACACTTGCAAAGATCTTAAACACATCACCAAAACGCAAAAGAAGAAAGTGTGATTGGTTACAAAACATGGTGAGCTCCTACCCCCCTCTTTAACCCAGATTAACATTCCGACGTCGTTTTAGCTAACAGTTAAAACTATTTTTTAAAACAAAACACGTTATAACATACCTGCACTACCTGGTACCCTTTTATGGAAATGAAAGGTTATTAATATAACAAAGCCTTCGGGAGAAAGCAGCGCCGCGTCCTCTCATGCGTTTGGCAACCCAGTATCAGCAAAGCTAATGTCAAACATGTTCGTGTAATGACGCGAGAGACCGTGACCTCGCGATATTACGATTGCGTTCTCAAATGTGATGCTGTCATCTAGTGGCCATTGAAAGACATTTAGATTAAATCGATGGAACTAAATTTCAGATATTTTAATACATAGCTTACACTTTGAGTACACGGGGTACAGTTGCCCCTCAGAAAATTCATAATTGAACATTTACTAATCATTTTAACTATATAGACCATTTTGCAAGATGTAAACAACACTGGTCCAGAAACACTTCCTGTTTCAGTTTGTAACTGTTTTCTTTATTTCACATGTAAAGAAAACAGATGTTTATTTTTATGTTTATGTTTCATTTTTCAAATGAAAAGAAAGATTACCCCTAGGGGTAAATTCTACTGGGGTTCCCTTGTAACAAACGTAAATTGGAAGAAGGCCTGGCTTTTGCCTAGTAAATTTTGTGTGTCCAACAAAGTTAAAGAAATTCATTATAAGATCCTTCATAAGATCTACCCTGTTAACTCTTCTATGCTAAATATTCTGATATTGATGTACTTGCTCCTTCTGTGGTTTTGTTAAACAACTGCCATTTATTTGTGAATGTAATGTAACAATAGATTTTGAATAAATTAATTCTTTTGTTTTTAGCCCTACAAATAGACCCACACCTTCACTCTCAAAGAGGTTATTTTTTTATTATGAAAATCCAAAGTTGCTTTCCCTTGAGTATGTTGTAACTTCTTTATCTTGTATGCAAAATTCTTCATCCATAAGCAAAAATGGCTTAAATCTCTTTGAGCTTTCCTCTCTTTCTTGCTGATTTTGACTCTTTTATTTCGTCCCTTAGTTATAAATACAAGAAAGTGAACAATTTTGATGTATTTTGATGATTTATTCAAAGACATGACTTGGCCTTAAAATTATGCTTTTCTTTTTTTTATGTATTACATAATTTGATGTATGCATACCCAGGATGCTTATTTTCTGTTAGGTACTATTGTTTGTTTGTTTGTACACCTGGCCTTACTTCCCTGTGTTGGTATTTTGTATAAGTCTGCAATTAAAAAAAAAAAAAAAAAAAAAAAAAAAAAAAAAAACGAGGAAAAAGATGTTTCTTTAAATTTTTGATTCATGTGTTCTGTTGGTTGTATTCTATCCCAGCTTGTAGTGTTAAAAAAATGAAACAGTAAAATGGACTATAACCTATATTGGATGAACTGAAATATTCTAATGTAGTACGATCAGTGGATTTATTTGTACTAAAATATCATACATTACAACGTCGATTATGTCGTACTTGTGACATGCATGAATTGACGTTTAAGTAAAAAACAAATCAAAATCTAAAGTAACACAGTGCCACATAAGTCGTTTTATTTCTGTTTTTGTTTCTTTTTATATTGACTAAATTAGTGACATTTTTCTTTTATAAATGGTTTACAGTTTTGTTTAGCTTAATCACATTTCTTCACAAGAATGTGATATAGTAAAATAAAAATATATATATTTTTGGAATCAATGGTCTCTTGTGTAAAAATAATGATGATGATAATAATATGGTTTAATTTGTTTTAATTTTGTCGCAGCCCTCTGTACTTTCTGTTCAGAGAAACCTGAAACTACTTTACATTTATTTTGGAACTGCTCTCGCACAGCAACATTTTGGTGTGATATCTGTGTGTAATTTTATCAAATTTAATGTGAATCATAATTTTGAATTTACATATAGAAATGTAATTTCTCATTTTCATGAATGTGAAAAGAAAAGTTATATTTATTTTATAAACCTTATGTTCCTGTTAGCTAAAATTCACATTCATAAATGTACATTTTCTAAATCCAATCCTCTTTTATTAATGTTTAAACTTGAAATGAAAATGTATTTTGAATCTATTGAGTTCTCTAAAAACTTAAAAGCTATAAGAACAGTGGCTGCGTTTAAGGACTTGGCACTTGATGTGGATTGAAAGACTGAAAGAACTTAATATGGCCTGAAGGACACTGGAGTATTGTTGTATTATGTTATGACAATGACAATAATTGTTAATGGTCTTGTGTTTTGTTTTTGTTGTGGTTTTCTTCCACACGCATTTAGCCTCTTTATACTACACATGTGTTTTCTTTCTCAACAGTTCAACTGACTATAATGACCTGACCTGTCCTTACATCATAAGAAGAATGGCATATACGCTAATGTTAGTCTTTCTGTTTTTTCCAAGGTTTACTGTAGTCAGCCGGATCCGGGCTGTATCCAGATCAGATGGTGGACCTGCGCCTAGACATGACCACAACGTGTGATGTAGTCAGCCGGATCCGGGCCGTATCCAGATGGACCTGCTCCTCACTGAAAAAATGATTGATGGTTTAACTTAAAAAAGTAAGTAACCTGGTTGCCTTAAAATTTTAAGTTCATTGAACTGGAAAAAGTGAGTTAATACAATGAAGGAGATTAATTTAACCATCAGAAACTCTAAATTATATGTTATCTGAACTAAATAAATTATTTAAGTTGATTTGACAAAAGAAAAAATGTTGTGATTACTACACTGTAAAAAAAATATTGTTGGTTTAACTTAAAAAAGTAAGTAACCTGGGTTGCTTTAAAATTTTAAGTTGATTGAACTGGAAAAAGTGAGTTAATACAATGAAGGAGATTCATTTAACCATCAGAAACTCAAAATAATAAGTTATCTCAACTAAATAAATTATTATAAAGTTGATTTGACAAAAGAAAATATGTTGTCATAACAAATCTTGAAAATATTTTTTACAGTGGGGCACGACCACAACGCATGATGTAGTCAGCCACATCTGGCCCATATCCGGATCAGATGGTGGACCTGTGCCAAGACACGACCACAATGCATGATGTTGTCCATCATCTGGATACGGCCCGGATCCGGCGGACTACATCATGCGTTGTGGTCATGCAGAGTCAGTCTCTGTTTTTAAATTTAAAATGAAAGATTCAGGTAAATATTTAAACTTGAAGGAACAGCTACCCAAAAACAAATTCAATCATCTAAAAAATTATATAATATCATCATTTATTCACCCTCAGGTTAGGTATTGGGCTATTTAAAATAAAATAAAATGATGTGACCCCTTTAAACAAAATGCTTTCAATGAATAGAAAATAATAACTGCTTTTAAACAGTCCTGATCTATGAAAAAACTTTGAAGTGAAAATGCAAGGGCCTATTTGTAAAGTTCAAGGAAGACAATAAAGGTTTATTAGATAAATATGACAAGGATAATAGTCAAGGTGCGATACGTAACAATACCGGAACAAGAACTGAACTCAAGGAACTTAAAATACACAAAGATAATTAGCTAAAAGTAGAACAGCTGTGACGATAAGTGTTGGTGTCCATGGTGACTGAAGAGAAACAAACTGAACACGGTGACACTGTTGTGTTTCCTGAAATAAACTGTTTAAAATCTCAATCTACATGGTTGATAAGACTAGAGCCAGCATATGAACAATAACAATAAAATTAGATGCATGACACCCCTATTCATGGATATTTAGGTGAAAGAAGCTATTCTTGTATTAATAGAAAGATTTAGGTAAATCTTAAAACTTATAGAAACTTAGTTACCTAAAACAAATTCTATTACCTCTAATTTTAATTCTAAATTACTTCTAATTCCTCATGTCGGTCCAAACAAACACAGCTATTTTTACAGTGGAACACAAAAGGACAATTTTGAAGGATCTTTATGCAGCTGTTTTCCATCCAATATCTTTTCATAGTCATCATGAAAGCTCCAAAAATGGCATAACAGTAATATAAGAATCCATATAGCCATATCTGTGATAAATTCAAGACTTCTGAAGTAGCTGAAGGGGATGTTAAACACTTGTTTTTATTCACTGATACCATTTCCATAGACTGAAGTTCTGAAAATGCTTTTAAGGTCTGTAGCCAAGGGGAACTTCATGAAAAAAAAATGAAAAAAATTTCATTTTAATTTTTAAATGCATCACTCCATTTAAACGTAGCCTACTCTCTTGCTGTGCTTGGTTGCGGTGTCATTGTGATAGCACTGATCAGGGTAAGCTGAGGTGAGTCCATACACTGGGCTGCATTAGGAATTCATTGTGTTTGTTTAACTCAGGGCTCACGTTTCCCTGCTCTCACTGAGACTGTCACAGAGATAGGGCCATGCAACCAGAAACGCTGTGGGTACAATTGGTCATACTATCCACCTTCACATCCTTAGACTGTTGCTGAGGGAAAGACAAGTGACATTCATGTGGATCCATTCAATATATTATTCACAAGTCTCACATGTGCCACAGAGCTGCAGTTAGATGAAGCTTATTAAATGCACCGTAGTAAAGTTTATACTGGTATTTAGCAGTTGCAACAAGTGGACACAATAACAAGTTGCACTGACACATTCAGACAACAGACTTAAACAGACAATGAAGGTAGTGGTTGAACTGAAGCCTATTCTATTATCCTATTATCTCTTTTTCACAGGTAACAGTGAATATAATAGGCCTATATATATATATATATGAAGAGTTCAGATGCAAAAGCCTCTAAGTGCCATTTGAAATTTTCTTCTAAAATGATCATTTTTATCAAGCTTGTATATTTAAGTTTAGTAATTTCACTTAAATGACAATGAAGATTACCTATTAATTGTCATTTAAGTGAAATTACTGAACTTAAATACTCAAGCTTGATAAAAATGATCATTCTAGAACAAAATTTCAAATGGCACTTAGAGGCTTTTGCATCTGAACTCTTCATATATATATATATATATATATATATTATTGGGGTCAAATCGACTAATCATCTAATGTAAAAGTTAGTCTTTATATTTGCGTGCATATTTGTAGGCTACTGTATATAGCCTACAATATATGTGTGTGTTTACATACATATATATATATATATATATATATATATATATATAGATGCGATTAATAAATGTGACATCACTACAATTGATTTTATTTAATATTTATTTATTTGTCAGTACAGGGTATGTGTCTATACAAAATAAAAACCTACACTGAAAATTATTCACAGGGGTAAAATGTTTGACAACTTGTCCC